TATATATATATATATATATATATATGAGTACTAGTAGATTCATAAGGAACACAATATATACAGTATGTGAAAGCAAGTCATACCTCAGCTGTGGGAATCATATTTGGAGATCTGTAAAGAGTTGTGACCTCACGGAAAAGAGCTAGAAGGATAAACACTGTTCCATTTCTTATTGATGCTCTGTATTGCTAAATGAGGAAAAAAAGAAAAAACACAACATCAAGAAATCTGTTATTGTGACAGCAAACAGGAGACAATAGATCATATTAAATTATGAAATACACTATCTATATCTAAAGATTATTGAAAATTTGTAAAGAAATACCTCCAATGTTTTTTCTATCTGCCCAACTTCACCATCCATTAAAGCCTTAGCGACTGCTTCCCTAACTGTTTTGTACTCCTCACCATAAACCAGAAACACGTCCATCAGACCTTCATCTGCATTCTGCTAACACAAAATTTTACAGGGTTCATAACATAAAAAATATATCACATTTTTAAATTATGCAGTCATTGTTTGTTCTTATATTTTGGTAAATAAAAATGTAAACATTTCAAATTAAAACACTTGTCAACTTGTTGCATGGACACTGTAGACTGAATGTAAGTTCCCTAATTTCATTGCTTGTGGTTTATATTCCTAAAACAAAATGGTAATCACATACCTGCTGCTTGATCTCCTCTGGAAAAAGCCAATTAAACTCTGCTTTTTTTGCCAAAGACTGAACAAGTTCAACACCCTGCCTTTCGCTGATCTTACGAATCAGGTAAACACGGTACCAATCATTGCCACTTTCCTCACAGAGCTTTTCCACCATGTTTAGAAATTCATGTGGGGTATCTGAGACAATATTATCTGAAACAGAACATAAAATTGAAATGCGTTTTTACCAGTGAAAATAAGAAACTAAACTAATTAAATGACTACAGTTATATCTCACCAGAAAGTTTGTCACTGATTAGCTGTGCAGCCATCGTTAGTATCAGGCGCAACTTGGCGATGTGTTGCAGGTGTTGAATAGACACTGCTTCTGAAGCAGAAGGTACTTTCCTCAAACAGAAATGAAGAAAATCTGTTTCCTTGTTGTAAATTTGCAACTCTTCACCCCTGTTGCTTTCCAGAGACATCTTCTCCCACATAGCGTCCTGTAAAATAAATTTTTATTCAGTTCAGCTTAGACCTCTATTTCAAATTAAGTGTTGAACATTTCTATTGCAAGTTATTTGATGTGTAGCAAAAACAGCTTCTACAACTGGGTCCTTGCACACTTTTTATGAATTCTTTAATCCAGACTTATTTTGCGGGTTAATGCATAATATACCTTTTACGTCCAGGCGTAACACTGGGGCTGTTCAGAAAACACCTGACGCAAAGGCATTGGAGGCATATGTCTAATAGCTTATGAATCAGAAGTGGAAGTAAATAATCAAACCAATAAAGTTGTCTCGTTATCTAAAAGTTAAATACAGGGTTATTTACAGAATTAAATATAGGCTGCCATGACTCATACTACAAATCCTCTCCCGCTGTTGTGGTATTGAAGGATGTAATCAGATTAAACACACACCAATCATCTCATTATCATGAGAAAACAACTTTTTTATATTTTGATAATGCAAAAATTTACTTTTTTCTCAAGAAAAACCACAGTGAAAAAGTATCTGAAGGACACATCCGCTCTTGGCTTCCATAAGTAACCTTCAGGAGTAGTCATACAAAAACCCAGATTAACATTGTTGTAGGTCAATTGTATAAAAAATCTTGTTCATAACTGCAACATCCTTCATAGCTGCTCATAATACCAAAATACTATGACATTCATAGCTGTTCATAAGTACCCTATAACCAGTGTTGTGCCTGAACGCGTTCATTGAACGAAAGTTCATGAAC